AATATAGATTTGTACATGAGCGTAGATTCTATAATTATACTGAGTAAGGATTACTAATGAGATAGTTTGGGGATAATTTTATCAATGCTTCTATTCTTTTGATTTCAAAGTATTTTGTTTTACCTATAGTCTAGAATAAAATAGGCATATTCTACCTTTGATTTTGTAACCTACATAACATGAATGTGAAATATAAACAACCATTTAGAGGAAGCATTTATGAAACACATTTTTGGTGAATCTGATTTTGACTTTGTAATCAAAATAAAAAGTTAAAACTCTTAACTGGAAAGAGGAGAAATGAACAGGAAAGACTATTGAGCTACAGCACAAAACGTCCTTGTTCAGCTCCTCGCTGGAATAAATTCTTCATACAGGGTAGCTCTTTATTTTATATTCATTCCATTCTGTTCACTTTCTGCTCCATCCGTAGTCAGCTTTGTGATTTGTTTACTCTTGTCATGATCTACTAATTATTTGCCAAAAGGCTCTCAGTATTTTTTTTTTCAAATGTGAAATGGTGCGTACAAGCTTTGGGAAAGTGAAGTTACATCAAGAGCTGCTCTGGTCACCCATTAGGGTGCTCGTTCATGAAACCCTCCCTTGTTACTCATGTTTTTGAAGAGCTCCTTTCCTCTCCATTTAATAAACTTAGTGAATGCTTCAGTGTGCGTTCAAAGATTCAGAACATTCATTTGGAAGTGATAATTTAGGCAATGGGCAAATTAGAATGCTGACGTCTTATAAAGATCCTGGCTCCATTGCACAGGGCATGCAAGTCTCTTTTGAATGGGAGTTTACATTTTTGAGATTTATGAGAATTATTATATTAGCCATTACAGTTTGTTTCAGGTATTTATCATATACTTAAAGAAGTGTCTATATAAGGCCAAAATATTCAGAGGAAAAGTGAAAAATGTAAGCATCTACATGTCAAGCATTAGAATGTTTTAGAACATTCTAATTTGAACACTAAGTTTTCACATAAAGAATTTTGTAACACTTAGATGCAAAGAACGATCTTTGGTGGAAATTTTATTTTTTTATTTTTTATTCAGAGAGTTGGCTGGCCAGCAGACAGCTGAATATTATAGAACTAATTTTGTGGTCTAGTACTCACAATGCAACTCACACACTTAAAATGTGAGAATATAAATCAAAGAATAATATAGAGATTCACTATGAAACAAACTTTTAAAGGTAATTGACCAAAACAGCTCCAAAATCTGACTGAATAACAAAATTTGCTGAAAGGTGCAGCATTACAATTAAACAGTGCAGCGCACGCCAGCTACAGAGTTTCTGAAATTTTAGCTTCAAAGTGAAACTCTTTTAGTGATAGAAAGTTTTAAAATGACTAGGTCCAGTTGCACATATTTTGTTGCTGGCTTAAAAACATGTTCCTATTAAATACATGTATAAAGTAAATCCTCTTGTAAGGATTTTTATAAATCGCGATTAGTCGTATGTACGGCTGAGATTTCTCTCAGGCACACGTGGGGAGGGGGTGCAACGGGGAGTAGTTTGGAAACACCAAGCTACAAGTTGGCATTTCTGTCAGCTGCTGCCAATTTATGGCTGAAAGGCCACCGTGAGACTTCCACACTGAGGACGACAACATCTTCCTGGACCAGAACTCAGATTTCCAACCATCTCCTAACTAAAGCATAGCTAAGAATTTAAAAAGCAGCAAGCTTTTTGGCAACCAAAATAGATGTTACAAAATCCATGAAAGGAAGCTCAGGGTCTTTACCTGTAGGCAATACCATAGATGATAACGTAGGCCTTCATTCAGAGTCGTTTATTCTTAGACTGCACACAATTCTAACATTTGCAAATATTTGTAAAATCTCACAGTAGATTAGAAGTGATGATTTAGAAAGGGATTAGAATTTTACTTCTGATCTTGTTTTAAAAGGGTCTGGGGAAGTATAGCATTTAGAAAGATTTATATCCAAAGTGATTGAAAGAAAATATCTTAGACACTTAGAGAAGTAAACCTCACACTGGAAAATGTAATTATTCAAAATGACTCGTTCCTTACGTGCTCTAGATAGCCGAGCTTTTCCACACAAGTTTAGTTCATTTTGGTGTTTAAATCCTATAGGAGAATTTTATTCATTCAAGTAGAAATAAAATAATCAGCACTATCCAAGGCCAAGGCCTTCATTCAATCTAAGCTTCTGGAAATAAAATGTGATACCTGCACTATAAATAACCATGGAATAACCACAGCAGCAACAGTTATCATTACTGAGTGCCAACTATGTGCCAAGCAGTTTACACATATTATGACTAATCCTTGCAATAACCTTCGATGGGAGGAATTGCTATCCCCATTTTATAGATAAAACTGAGGGTTAACGGTAAAGGAAATTGCCCAAGTTTACTTAGGGTTCAAACCCAGGTCATTCTGGCTCGAAAGCCAGCATTCTTTCCATGGCTATCTCTTCCTTCTAGCTGTTGAGAGTAGGTCTCCAAATCCTTGGTGGGGCTCAAGGATTAATTCCCAGATAAGGAGGATTGCTCTCTAGGTTGGATCATTCGCTAGTTTGATCAAGCAGCCACATAGCAAGGATTGAATCCTCTCTCAAGCTTATTATATTGTCTCAACCTCCCACCATCCAGCTCTCTGAGATGTGGATTCTCATGTAGCTGACTCAGCATGTAGTTAGTTTATCTCCACTCCTGAAAAAATACCACCAACCAAAGAGGGAGGCTATGGGCTAGGGTGAGTGTCAGACATGGAGAAGGAGATGTTTCATTTTAACACAGATGGCACAATAAAATGAGCAGAAGGCTTGCCTTTTGCCATGAAGAACACTGTTTATCTACTTAACTACATTTGCATCTCATTTCCAAGATAAAATTTGACTTTCCCCACCAATCTATATTTACGTTTCTCAGATTCATGGGACCAGGAGCAATAATCAGGTGACCAATGGAAGCAATGGGAGCATTTTAAACAATTGCTCATAAAAGATTGCTGGCTGTGGGGGAGTGTAAGGACAAATAAACAGTAAAGGAAGGGGGATAATGTTGCAAGGTTCATTCCCTGTGCAAACAGCCCAGCTGGGGGACAAAGTCCACTCCTCCCACATTTGAAATGCAATCTGCATGTGACATTTGGAGGGCTCTCCCCTCCTGCATTACGGGCTGGATTCCTTATGCAGTCTTCTGGAAGCCTCCTAAGTAGGTGAAGTGGTTGTTCACTATGTCACTCCGTGGTTTTAGAAACATAGGAAGGACTCCTGTGCAGGCTACCTCACCCAGAGTCTTGCCAAATTGGCTCTTTAAGATGCCTGAAATTTCACAGTTAATGCTTCATTGTTTTTCCTCAAGCCAAAGATTAAGTGTTAAGGCAAATACTCCTGCGGAGGGCAGTTCATTGACCTATTAGTCACTTATACCTTAATCAGAAAGAGTTTGGCAACAATTTACACAGGAAACAATAAATGCAAAGGTCACTTTCTAATCTATAAATTGTCAGATAAATAATAAATTATTTGAATACATTTTTTAAATTTTTAATTGAGATATAATTGACATAACATTATGATTTGAACACATTTTGATTGAAGAATCACCTTTACCGTCATCTCTGATTTATCAAGTGCTTATTATATGCTAGGCATTGTTCTAAGATTTCTTGACAACAAACTTATATGAGGTAGGTATGGTTATTATCCTTATTTTATAGATAAGAAAGATGAGGCACGGGGAGGTTAAGTAACTTTCCAGAAGTCACACAGCTACTTAGTGTCTGGGCCAGGATTTGCACCAGGCAGTCTAGTTCCAGAAGCTGCACTGTAAACCACTCTCTTACTCAATTCCTCTCTTCAAAGCTATGATGGCTGCAACAAATGGAAGAAAGAAGATTTGTGACATTGTGAAAGGTCTGAAGTTATTTTTAAATGTTGTTATACTAACATCCATTACAATATGGACACAATTTTCTTATATAAGTTCCTAACAGAACTCGCCTCTGCTTATTGTGGGCTGAACATCAGCATAATGGAAATAATCAGAAGAATAGCAACAACAGGTACTTACTATGCTGCGGCTGATGTGGTCACTTTTATCACCATCATCTTCATGATCTTCACCATCACTGCATCGTTATCATCATCACTGCTGTCATCATTTATTGAGGGCTTACCAGGTTCCAGGAACCATGTTGAGCACAGTGCCTAACTGATCTCATTTAATCCTCAAGCAATCTTATGGAGGAGGTATAACCATTTCCATTTTACAGATGAGAAAACTGAGGCTCAGAGATGCTAAGGTCATAAAACCAGAAACGATACAGCTGGAATTTGAACCTAAGACTGCCTTCAAAGCTTACGTCCTTAATCACTTCACTATGTCCAGTATCTTAATACTACTTCTACTGCCACCACCACCACCACATACCACTTATTAAGTCCTATCTATGTGCCAGGCTAGCCCTATGTCAGGCTAGTCCTATGTCACTATGTCAAACTATGGCTCCTGAGCCAAATCCAGCCAGCTGCCTGTTTTTGTAAATAAAGTTTTATTGAGACACACGCATGCTCATTCATTTACATATTGTCTATGGCTGCTTTTGTACTAAAAGGTAGAGTTGAGTAGTTGCAACAGAGATATCATGGCCCACAAGGGAAAAATATTTACTCTCTGGCCCTTCACAGAAGAGTTTGCTGACCCCTGCCTTAAACCATCTTGCAATGTATGTGTCATTGTTTTCATTTTACATATAAACATATCAGAATTCAGGAAGATTAGGTAACATGTCCATTCAACTATTAAAGAATGAGAATGTAGTGAAAAAGTGAGCTCTAGATGACTCCAGAACCTTTTAATTTTTGTCTCTAAAACTTACAAAGGCAAAAACTTTTATTATCAGTTGCAGGAAAGGAGCGTTCTCTAATATGTGGTTAACAGTATGGTTGTAAATGTCTGACACTGGTGTTAAAGAGTCGTCATTTTCCCTTGTCAGAGGGATATTAAGTTCCTCTTACCTTCTGAGGATTTACTGTACTTAATTCCTTGAGGATGGATGCTTAAGGGCACATCTGCCTTATTCTTAAAGTGGACTTTCATGACGTCTCCAACTTCAGCATATAAAGTAGGTCCAAGAAGTCCTACGGAACAAGGATTTAAAATACATCTGTGTTCAGCATTACCAAAGACAGAGCTGCTAAGCAATAGAAACATGCAGAAAAACCCACGAGTGATTGCTGACATTCCTCCTGGTCCTGAGGTTGACCTGCTGGTCTTCAATCTAGAAGGCTTTGCCAGCTCATCAACTCTACGTCACGCACCGTCACATAAGGACAGGAAGGTAGAAACGCTTGGCTTGGGCCCAAAGCAAGTCAAGAGAGTGGGAGAAATAGTTCTGACCGTGTCCACCCCATGCTGATCCACTGTCATTCCTTAGAGACTGCTGTTTTCGGTCAAGAAAAGAAAGATATGCATTTGCAATTATACAGGGTGATGTGAGGGAGGGTGATCGGCTACTTAGATCTCTCCATGGTGGGAGACCTCAGAGACCTAAATGAAGCAAGGAAGCAAATCACACAGTTCTCTGGCCCTGACGCAAGTTCAGAGTCCCTGAGGCAGGAGTGAGTTTGATGCATCCAAAGAACAGTAAGAAAAACTGTGTGGGCAGAGTGAGGCAGATGGGGGCGGAGGGCAGATCGCTTAAGGCCCTATGGGCCATGGTAAGGACTTTGGATTTTCTTCTGAGTGAAATGGGAAATCACGGGAGCTCTGCGCAACAGAGAGACATGGTCTGACGTGTTTTAAAAGTTCATCCTTAAAAAAACCAAAAAGATAAAAATTTCCTCCTAGCTGCTGTGTAGAGAATAGTCTCTGGAGTGATAAGGGTGGAAGCAGGAGACCAGGTGGTATAGACAAGAGACAACAGTATATTGGGCCAGGGTGTGCAGCAGTGGAGTGGTGAGAAGAAGGTGGCTTCTGGACATTTTGAAGGTAGAGCCAGGAGGATTTGCTGACAGGTTGGACGTGGCACGTGAGAGAGAGAAGTCAAGGATGACTTGATGTGGGTAAATAATGTTCTGTCACTTCGATGGGGAACACAGCAAGGACAGCTGGTTAGGGTGCAGAAATCAAGAGCGAGCTTTCACTCACTACAGGCCAGGCACTGTGCGAGGTCCTGGGGCCACATGGATGAAGAAGTCACAGTTCCTGTCCTCAGGCGCTCACAAGCTAGTCTGGAGAGAGACATATGGTAGGAGCTGCTGCTGAGATATGGGCATCGTGCTACAGGAGCAGAGAGGAGGAAGGACTAATTCTGTCTGGGGAGCAGGAGCAAGAGTTGATGTCTGAGTCAGACATTTGAAGAATCACAAACTAGAATTTCCCAAAGTGTAGTCCTTGCATTCTCTGCATCAGAATCACCCGGGGTCCCACTAGAAGGCAGATTTCCAAGTACCATCTCAGCTCCAAAGAATTCGAGTCTCTGCAGGCGGAGTTTGGGAATCTGCATTTTTAACACGTGTTCCTGAGTGATTCTGGTGTCCTTTAAAGCTTGAGAACCTGTCACCAAAAGCCCTTTTTCAGACAAGTGACAGGAATTGACTGTTCTCACTTCCAAGCCACACGTAAGCTCTCGTAGGGTTGGCTTCTGCCCACTAGGAATCACAGGAGCAGGAGAAGGAAGTTGCAGAGGTCATGGAGTTCCACTGGCATTCGTTTGCTCACAATTAACATAGGACTTCCACTCATTGTCCCCCTCAATATATCCGAGCACTGTAAGTCCTTACGTTAATCCTCCCAACAAATCTTTAAGGTAGATATTAAGATCCTCATTTTACACATAAGGAAACTGAGCCTCAGAGAGTTTAAATGTCTTGCCCAAAATTATATAGCTAATTAGAGGCAGAGCCATGATTTAAACTTAAATCTGTCCGACTCTAGATACTGTGCTTTTAACCACTTCTTTGTATTGAGCCCCCCCACCTTGTATTAATTCATTCATTCACCAAATGTTAATTGTGTGCCCCCATTATCCTAAGTGTCAGAATTGCAATAATGAGTATAATAATTAGATGTACTCCCTGCTTATAAAATAGTAGAAAGACAGATTTTAACAAATGATCCCACAAATATTTAATTACAAACTGTTGTGTTATGAAAGAAAAGTATGGGATACTCAGAAGAGCATTTGACAGAAAGATCTAGTCTAATCTTGGAGGCAGGGAGGGGATCAGGATTGGGAAATGCTTCCCTGAGGAAGTGATGCTTTAACTGAAGTCCAAAGGCAAAGAGGCAAAAGGAAGGGCAAGGGAATTCCAGGGATAGGGATTAGCATGTGGAAAGGCCCTGAGGTGCCAGAAAACTTGGCCTATTCAGAGATCTGACAGACGGCCATGGGGAAGTGAAGCCGAAGGCATGATCAGAGGCCCAGTCATGCAGGGTCTTGTAGGCCTCTTAGAGTTTTGCCTTTAACCTAAGAGTATCTGGAAACCATTAAAGAGTTTTTAGCAAGGGTGTGACATGGACCAGATTTTAGTTTTTAAATCTCTGGCTGCATATGTGGAGGATGATCTTGGGGCAAAACCAGAGTAGATGCTGAGAGGACAGATAGAAGGCTCCAGAAGAGAGATGGTGGTGACTTAGTTTAAGGTTATGGCAGTGGAGATGCTGAGGAGAGAACATATTAGAGAGCTATTTAGGAGATCGAATTGTCAGGACTTGATGGATTGGATATGGGGTGGAAGGTGAGGGAGATCAAGTTGCCATGGATGGCAGGTGAGGTTCTGGCTTGGGGGACTGGGTGGGTGAGGGTACCATTCTCTGAAATAAAGCACACTGTGGGAGGGTTTTGTTTGATAGGTGTGGTAGGCAGCATGATGGCCCCCCAGAGAGGTCCATGTCCCTAAGCCTTGGGACCTATGAATATGCTACCTTATATGACAAAAGGGACTCTGCAGGTGTGATTGGGTTAAGGATATTGAGTTTCCTGGATTATCCAGGTGGGCCCAATGTAATCACAAGGGTCCTTATTAAAGGGATGTAGGAGACTCTGAGTTAGTGGAGGATGCTACTCTGTTGGCTTTGAAGATGGAGGAAGGGGCCATGAGCCCATGAATGCCGGTGGCTTCTAGAAACTGAAAAAGATACAGAAATGATTCTCCCCTAGAGCTTCAGAAGGAACAGAGCTCTGTCAACACCTTGATTTTAACCCAGTGAAACTCATTTTGGACTTGTGACTTCAAGAACTATAAAATAATAAATGTGTGTTGTTTTAAGCTGCCAAGTTTGTGGTAATTTGTTACCATGGCAATAGGAAATGAATTTCCTGTTAGCAATGGGAATATAGATCTCTGAGACAGAGGTCCTATCTTCCCCGACTCCTGTCTTTCCACTCACTGGTGTCCTATTTCTAGTTCACTGAATTCCCAGGCCTCGAGTCTATACTGACGTGTGCCTGCAGGTTTTTGTTTGTTTTTATGTTGGCTCTGCACAGGACCCTGGAGGTCACATACTTCAATCCTCATTTTAGAGGTGGTTACAAAGCCTGGGAAGTGGGGCAGGCAGGGTGGCCTGCCCCGGGTCAGTCAGAGATTGGGTGGCACTGCTGGGGCTAGAACTCAGGTCTCTGGACTCCTGAACCAAAGCTTTCACCACCACCTTCTGCAGGGCCGATTCAGAACACCCACTTTCCTGGAATCGTACCAGTGTCTACACCATTTTTGACTCCTGACCACATCTGACTCCACTGGCTGAACCCTCTCTTTTGACTGCTGCCCTCAGTCCTAGCTCCCTGACGGAAGCCCCCACTGGCTAGCTACTTGCACCTGCCCGGATGCCCATGAGCCCAGTAGGGGGCTGACTATGCTGTCACATTGTGCACTGCATTTTGTTGCCATGGTTGCCTAGCTCAGTTGATTTGTTTGTTGGCATCACATGGCTGCAAATGCCAGATGCCCAGAATAAGACTTCTAAGTTATTTAACCTAACAAGACCTCTTACTGCAACGAATGGTTGGAGTGTTTCTTTAGCCTCCCTTTTGCTTCTTCAGAATTAAGGCAGAGCAAAGGGATGGTTTCGTAAATGCAAACCGAATACCTTTGTGCATGGAGGCAAACACACGGCTGAAAGTTGTTGGAGCGGCTGTTTAGCTCCTCCGTCAGCCAGGTGGCCTGCGACCTTTCCCACCCTCTCCTCATTGCCCAAAGCCGAATTGGGGGAGGGAGTGGCCTATCTTGGGGTCCCAGAAAGGTAGCACAGCACGTACCCAATTTCCTGCAGTTTTGGAGTTGAAAAAGACTGCAGGAGATCAGCTAATCCAATCCCCTGCTCTCAGGAAAATAAGGCATTACAGAACACAAGGCAGCCCCTGTGGCAGCTATTTTAAAACCTCTTCAGGGACAAACATTTCATAATCTTCCTTGAAGGGATGCAGAGACTCAAAACTAGCCATTCTAAAGTCCAAGACAATGAGCCCGGCCCCTCCACCTGTCCACAGGTCCACAACCCTCACTGGACAGCCGTCTTCAGACCTCCAGTCCTGCAGCCCAGCCTCCACATGCAGTTACAGCAACTTCTGGGCTCATGCTGCAGAAGTGGGGCACGTGACTTGTTCGGGGCTCAGCTAGAATCATCCGCACCAGATGGATGGAGCAGGAAGTAGAGGAAAGGTACAAATGACACAGAACTAGGCTGGCGATGGGGAGGGTCACATAGTCGAGGGCAGTGTTCAAACCCAGATCTTCTCATTCAAAATCGGAGGCTTCTCTTTTACACCAGGTTTGCCTCCTGGTATCAACTACTATAAGGACACAAGGATGAATAAGATACCACCCTGGCCCTCCAGGGGTTCATGGTTAAGCAGCTTTGGGAGTTCAGGAAGAGGCTGCATAAAAACAGATGCTGACATGCCTCAGAGTCAACATAAAACAGACATGTTATGAGATACACAGGGTTTAACAGAAAGCTGATGTTTTAAGCTCGTAGGGCTTAAACATAAACCCACTATCAAAGTTGCTTCTAATTAATGAGGTTGAATCAGGAAATCACTCCAAAAGTTAATCATCTTAAAGGATTCTGATCATAGTACTCTACTCTTGAAAAACTAGCAATGCCTCCTTATTGCTTAAAAGACAGTCTCCGGCCTGTCACTGGTCCTTTCCATGACTTATGGCACTCAGCACAATGGCTTATGCAGCACAGACATTCAAATTCAATTAACCAGGCAAAAGCCACAAAAGGTAGGGCTCTAACTACGTGCCCAATTCCTCTTTTCCCAGGTCTAATGAATGTTTCCTAGCTCATTTTTGCTTGACCCACTTACAATTTAATTAAGTAGTTCTTAAGTATCTATTGCAGGTACTAAGCTTGGAGCTGGAGCTATGAAAATGAATAGACTCTGTGACAGAGGACAGGAGATCCTTTAACTTCCTGCCCACAACTACAAACTTAATTTTATTAGTAACCTGACTGCCCTGTTGCCTGGCCCAAGCCCCAATGAAGGTACTGTCTCTTCCACCTCAGGCTGATCCAGCCCCAGCTTTGAATCCATCACTTCCTGTTTTTTTCTGAGTCTGGCTCCATCAGTTATTCTCTCTCAGATGTCTTTATCCTCTCGTTTTCTAGTGGAGTCTTCCCTTGAGCACTTAGATATTTTTAAGTCACTGTATTCCTTTTCTATAAAACTCCGAAATATTCTTAAACCTCTCATTCTCTTCCGGGACTAGCCTGTCTTTCCTCCCATTTGGAGCCAAGTTTCAGGAAAGAGTTATCTCTAAGTTCTCCTGCTTCCATTACTCATCTTTCACTCACTTTCATTCCACTTCCATTCACCAGGGTTAGTGGCACGAGGGAAACCGGGCAAAGAGAGAGTTTCAAGAAGGAGGAGCATTAAATGTCCTAGTAATGTCAAGTGGGAAAGAACTGGAAAGAAACCATTGGCTCTGGCATCTCAGAGATCCTGGGTGCCCTTTTTCTTTTTTGGTGAGGAAGATTAGCCCTGAGCTAACATCTGTTGCCAATCCTCCTCTTTTTGCTGAGAAACATCCATGCCCATCTTCTTCTACTTTGTATGTGGGACGCCTGCCACAGCATGGCTTGACAAGCGGTGCATAGGTCCATGTCCGGGATCTGAACCTGCGAACCCCAGGCTGCTGGAGTGGAGCACGTGAACTTAACCACTGCACCACGGGGCCAGCCCCTTTTGAGAGTAATTTTAGTGGATTGGGGAGGGACTGTAGGGAAAGGAAATGATATAGTAGAGAACGAAATGGACTACTCATATAGGAAATTGGTAGTGATGGAAAAGAGAAAAAAGGGAAAGGCAGACAGTGTAAAGGGGAGATTTTTTTTCTAGATGGGGGTTAACCTGAACATGGTTTTGTTTTGTTTTATGTTGATGATTTTTGACTGAAGGAAAGGCTGCTGTCAAGGAAAGATTAAAGATAGAGGGAGATCAGAGGAGGCAGGACAGAACAGGATGAACCAGAGGTAGAAGGATGAGTTTAGGAAAGACAACAAGTCTTCACCTGGTTTGGGGGGAAGGATGAGTGAATTACTGACCAGGGGACCCAACTGGAGGAAGTTCTATCTTAATGGCCTCTATCATTCTTGTGAAATATAGTAAGATCCCAGAAGCCCATTCAACTTACTTTCCTGGATTAAAGAAGAGATAAGGAAAAAAGAAGAGATTTCCTTCAAAAATGAGAGCTATTGTGTACATCACACTAAATAAAACAGAAGAGATGGGAAAGATAGATGCAAAGGAATCGGCCATACGCAGTTCCTTTGAATGAGTCTAGGGAGCCAGACGGAAGCAGAAGATCATTTGCTAAGGCTCAGCTGCACTCATTAAACTAGACCATAAGCTCCATGGAGACAGGGTACGAGTCTGTTTTGTCCACTGTGGCATCTAGACCACCCAGTTCAATGCCCAGCCCATAGCAGGTGCTCATGAATAGCTTGTTAGATGAATGAACAAAGATTTAAACACTTAAAAGTTTTGTTTAGCTTTTTGACCAAGGTTAAAAACAGCCAGCTTCCTGAGCATGTGACACAGGCAATTGCACAGGGCCCCGTGCTCAGGAGGGCCCCCTGCTCAGCTTAATGCTTTGCTGCCACTGTTTTGAAATCCTCAGTAATGTGAATAAGGGGCCTCGCAAATTATGTAGCCTGTGCTACTTAAAAACAACAAAAACATGCATTTCTATAAAATGTCACTAAATGGATATTTTAGATACATATGAATGTAAAATTATTTATAGAGATTTATCTTTAAAATTAATAAATATATTTTAGGCTTACCTGAAGTTCTAGCTTGTGGTTTTTCTTTCTTAAAATATGCTTCATACTCTCTGTAGACAATTTTGTTAAAGGAATTTGCAAAAGAATTCAAACTGGAAATAAAACACAGAAACTCATTTGAAAGACATACATGACACCCACTTCTCACATTACAGAAAAAAGAGATCTCTCGTGTGCTCAGAGTTGTAGTAGGAATAAAGTATTTCTGACTGCATTTCAGAAAGTCAAGGTTTTATAAATATGGACAACAAGTGAAGTTAATAAAATAATTATTGGTCTCTTCAAGAATATTCTATTGTGATAACCATTCTTTCACAAATTTAGGCTGCCTTAATCCTATGACTCAGAATCAATATTGTAAAAAAGAACCCAAGATCATAGCTTTGAAAAGTTTACTTAATCTATTTGTGCCTGTTTGTACAATTGTGAAATGAGAATAAGAGTTGAATCTCCCACACAGAATTGTTACAAATACTAAATGTCGAAACCTGCAAAGGACTTAGAGCTGGCACATTATAAACATTCAAGGCATGTTAGCTAGTAATATTTTAAAACTGTAATAAGAGTTGGTTTTTAGCCATCAGGTTTTCCCAGCAAGTAGAAAAATCTGTAATTGTAGTAATTCTCTTAACTTTTAAAAATGCGGGCTACAAGAACTGTAGTAATATTTGTGGGCAGAATTAAAGGAGGCATGAGGAAGTATTTTTGGAATGGCTAGCTATTGAAGATAGTGAGTTCTCAGTCACTGGAAGCATTCAAGTAGAAAGTAGACAACCACTTGGTAGGGGTATTGGTGCTTAGAGTGTGGGGAAAAGTAGGAAGTTAAAACATGGAAGTTGAAAATGAATTAAATGACTTAAAGTTCTTAGAGCTCAAGAATCCTAGAATTCTATATATCAGTTTGTCCGTAATGTGGAAGTCCATTTTTATTTACTTTTTTTTTTTTTAGTACAATTGAAAAGTAACTCCCTTCCTTTATCCTGGGTCTTTAAATACAGATGGAATATGCATGATGGTGTAAAATCTTTACTAAGAAAAGTCAGTGTGTTACGTGGAGTGATTTTAACAGAGGTGTGTTACCTGCCATGTTTCACTAGTGTATATTGTATGTAAATACTGAGCATATCTATTTTGAATTGAACAATTGAATTGTTATTGAAAAACAATCTGAAGAGAAAGTTAAAGATAATATGAATTCAAACAATACGCATGATTAATTTTCCATTTATGAGGACTGTTTAAAGATGATTTATTCATAATAAAAAATCGTATAAAGCTAGAACCCTGGAGGGAAGATATATATGTACTTTTTTCAATATCTGTTACTACATACATACAAGTGATTGAATAAGTTTCCTTAGGGAAATTTTCAGAAACATCATCTCAGACCTGGAGCAAGAATAATAGATATATTTTACTTCTAAAAGGCATTGTCCTGCTAATATTGATGAAGAAATGGAAAGATTTCTTCTTTGTGCTAAAATACACTTTGGCCAAGGATGGAGTTATAATGTTGATTTCCTTAGAGTATCATTCAGCTCTAGGTGTAGAACAATTTAGAACAAGTTCTTAGTTTAAACAGCCAGATATACAGGTTAAGTTTTTGACACGAAAGTACTAGAGAGAAATGACGTGATGTGAGGCTCGAAAATATTGACCGTTGGTCTGGATTATCATTTTACAGTTTTGACTCAATAATTGATGCTAGAGGATGGACTCTCCCCAGAATTCTGGAAACTCAGCCACAGAGTGAGAGGATGGGATGACCAGTCACGGCTCCCTATGGACTTGCCATGTGAACCAGTCTTTTGCCCTGTGTGGTTCTGCCTCCAGTATTCTGCTTGTTATTTTCAGCATTAACTACAGAAGAAAAAACAAACTCCCAGGCACAAGCACAGTGCGCCACAGGGAAGACGGCAACCACGTTAGTGTTCTACTCTCGAGCAGGACAAAGTACTATCGGAAAGACTGCTGTTTTCTTTGGGGTTTTAGTGAATGGCAGTTCCCTAAGGGTATGAGTATGACCTACATGGTCACGTTGAAATGCAATATTTAAAATGATTTTTTTTAAAAAGAGGGATTTCTCATGATTACAAGACCAAGATAGTATGTAATGCCTTCCAAAATAACCGAGTTGCAAAGAAATTTTTTAAAGGGTTAATATTATTCACTAAAAGACTCTTAAAATATTATATCGTTTCTTGGCTGACCGTTTTGATTTTGTAATTGTAAAAGAGGAACACATCTTTCACAATCATTTAAACTGTGATGTTAAGCAAAAAAAAAAATTGAGTCATGCTAAGAGGTTTCCCATTAAAACAAATAAAAATATAACTAACTGGAAATACTGGGTAGATCCTATCATTTGTTTAATTTCCAGGAAGTCTTATTTTTAATCTTTCAATTAGGAAAAATAGTTTGCAACTCAAACATCAAGTTTTATTATTTAAATCCCTGCTTAGTTACATATGCCTTTTAATAGTGACCCTAACCAAAATAGACAGAGGAGAGCTATCCCAGGGAGTGATTCAGAATGGGAGAAAAATGAAGAGTCATATGGAGCAGAAAAAAGGTGAAAGAACAAAAACGTTGCATTTTTATGGACTGATGATGTTTTAAAGTCATTTATAAGCAAACAGCAAAATTATGGCAATTGTTATTAAACAATCTGCTTATAAAAAAGTACAAGGTGTATATTTTTGGTTTTAGAAAATGAAGCTGTGTAGAGAATGGATTAAATCATATGTAACTAGAAGTTCCATAAAAATACTAGAAAAATCTGAAACAGGAATTTGCAGGAAGGCCTAATGAGGGGTTAGTGCCTACAGCTTTTGAATCAATCAATTTTTAAACTAACAATCAATCAAGCTAACAAAACTGTATTAACAACAAACTCTTGAAAGCCACATCCAGCCAATCAAACCGAATATTTTCTATATCCTCAGAACCATAAACTGTATTACTGGAGGTAAAATTACCATCCACCAACTTTATTTCATTCATTATACTCTCCTATTAATTATATTTACTTACCTTAAGTTAAAAAAAAAAAAGCCATGGAATTGCAAAGGAAATGCTCTTTAAAGGAAATAGATTATCGTCCCTAGAGAAGCCCACCCGGACACCACACCCGCCTTACTCCGGGATTGTGGGCTCAGGGCGGTAGTTCCAGCTGATGCCCTGAGCAGCCACGTAGAACTGTCTTAGCCGCGCTGCTTCGGCCCCTGGGCTCCCCCAGCCTGCCCAGCTGGTGCCCAGGACCACCAGGACCCAGAGGCGTGGGCAGCCCGGGAACATGGTTCCTCTCCTGCTCCCGCCCGCCGCCAGCACCCCGGGACCCGGGCAGGGCTCGCCTCCGCCGCAGGTTGCGCCCGCGAGCTCGTCCGCCGTCCCCGCTGCAGTGAGCCCCGGGAGGCTGCGGGTGGCGGTGTCCTCCTTCCCTTCAGCTCCCGCAGGCGCTGAGGGCGGCGGCAGCAGCCTTGGGCTGTCTCCACCTCCTGGGTGGAGGCTGGCGGTTGGCTAGGTCACTGCCCCAAATGACAAGAGGGATTAGGGAGTGCAACCAGATTAGTGACTGTTGTACTACGGTGAAGAAAGGGCAGAGATCAGAAGCTCTAGCAGGCGGGACAATGCCCAGGGATTCATGAGGCGAGGGCATGTACTCCCGCACCTCCACCGCTGGAAGGCCAGGAGCCCCTCACCACCCACCGGAAGATCTGCATGTCGCCAAGTTCACACTTGCCAGACGCTCTGCAATTCCCAGTGCAATGGGACCCAATACTCTTACCCTCATCAGTCTCCTTCTGATCTAAGGAAAGGGTATTATGCCCTGTTACTGGGCACAGAAATATTGTATTTTCAGGTGGCGAGGAAGCAAGGGAAGGAGCACACGAACAGGGCCTGCTGGCCTGGACAGCTGTACTGACGTCTACCTGCGCACAGTTCTGTCTTGATAAGGGCCTGCTAAGGCAGCAGCAGAGCAAAGGGCTTAAAGAGCGTGGCTGAGAGGATCAGTGGAGCAGATTCCAGTCCTGCTCACTAGCTGTGTTCTCTTGGATAAGTTACTCGACCTCTCTGGTACTCAGTTTTGACATCTGCAAAATGGGGATGGTAATAGTAGTTTTCCTGGATAGGGTTGTTGGGAGGATGAAGAATACCATAAAGTGTGAAATTCCCAGCAGATAGAAAGCACGTAGCATATGTTCGTTACTATGGTTATATTTTTCCTGCCTCCAGGGCCCCTTATATTTCTTGGAGGATCTGGCTGTTGCACACTTCCTTCAGATCTTACAGACAATCTGAGAATTATATTGTCTGAAGCATCATTGTGACTTGTCCTGGGTTCCCTGAAACTGCACACCTCCAAGCTTCTGTCTTGTAACTTGTCTCGATAAAGTCAATAAATTGTAATCCAGCACCTCACATGAGGAATCAGTGATGTCGGGCTCCTCAATAGTCACTCCCCCTACACACAATCTTCTGTCTTTGCTCCTTTGCTGATATTATTCTATCAACTTTGAATGCCCATTCTCTTCCTCTTTGCTGTCCACTCTTTAAAGTGCTATCCGAGTTCAAGCTGTTTCCTTGATTCTGGGCTCAAATTGACTTTTCCATTTTATGAACTCCTACAACACTAAATAATATACTCATCTTGATTGCCCTCTATTACTTTGTGTGGGTGTCTATTGTCTCCCCAACTAGATTATAAACTATTCAAGAGCAGGAACAGTGCCTTACACTTCTCTGTATCGACAGTATCAGTGGTTCCCAAAGCTGGAAAACCATCAGAATTTCCTGGGGAGCTTTTACAAAATGCAGATGCTGACTCAGGAGACAGGGCTGATAACCATTGTTCTAAAGTGTCGAGCCTAGTGACTGCCGTAAAATAAGCAGTCAGAGATGCTATTGACAATATATTAGAGAAACTTTTCTTTTCTTTTCCTTTATTTCTTTATTTTTGGTGAGGAAGATTGGCCCTGAGCTAACATCTGTTGCCAATCCTCCTCTTTTTTGCTTGAGGAAGACTGGCCCTGAGCTAACATCTGTGGCAATCTTCCTCTATTTTGTGTGTGGGTCACTGCCACAGCACGGCTTGATGAGTGGTGTAGGTCTGCACCCGGGATCCGAACCCATGGACCCCACGCTGCCAAAGTGGAGTGTGCCGAACTCAACCACTATGCCACCAGGCCAGCCCCCTAGAGAAACTTTTTAAAAGCACTGTGTCCCTAAATCCCAAGGTTACTACCAAAATTCTTGTAACCTTTAGTTAGACTGTTTTACCATTTTATTTTGCATGTTAACTTATGTGTCATTCAGTTTGCATGACATGTTCATTGCCTCACATTTCACGGAGACAAAACAACTATATTTTTTGGCTCTCTATTTTTGCATCAGTTCCAGATAACTGCTGTGTAGCTTTCAACAACCTATTAATTAAATGTGTGATTTAAAGAACATGCAAAACACATCTGTGCTTCCCTACAGAACATTCAGGTGATGAAGAGTTTTTCTGCTCTGATTTTCTCCTTGTGTGTGGGGGGGTGGTATGATATATATTTGCTGACTGAGGGTCGAGCTGTAATTGAGACAACTGTAATTGTGCATTATGTTGATGGTAAACAAAGACCCTATTAAACAAAATATCAAATAGAAGAACACGGCATTTGGGGGGAATCCTTTTAATTACACATTTGGATATTGGTCTTTGAGTCTTTAGGGGCAGAGTGACTAGTATAGGGAAGGTCTGCAGTGACGCGTGCCTTCCTGTCTTGATTCCTGATCTTCTGCAGCCTCTGGTACCACCCAGAGGCTTCTCTGGAAGCCTTGCAGCAGAGGTCTAAGAGGCTTCATAAACAGCAACCACTGGAGACCCCAGAAGTTCTTACAGGAATTTCTTCAAGTCAGAGACACTGCCTGCCTTCCAACAAAGCAGAGGCATTTTTATTGCTCCACAGTCTGGACTTCTGGTGAGTCAGATGCTCCAGTCTCTGGCTAATTGGTATTTCAAGTGACAGCACAGACAAGGCCCACAGAGCACTGTAGAACGTTCAATCCTGGCTCCTGAGGCTTGTGTTGGAGGAAGGGAGAGGTGGAACAGGAAGGGTGGGTGGAGAGCTTGGGCTTGTGGTACAATCCTTCTGCTCTGGTTCAGAGCTAATCTCAAGGAAATTCCATGTCTTTTATTCACAAGTATTTACAGAAAACTGCAGCAATTACACTACAGTTAAAGTCAAGTCTAGCAGGAAACCTGATAGTTAAAAATAGAATCCTGTGGAGGTTGATTGAGGTGACCAAGAAAAGGACAGTCTCTGAAAATGAGACAAAAAAATTAAAATTATTATTTTTTCCTTAAAGAAAGAAAGCAAGCTAGCTCTCATCATATCTATTCCCTGAGGCTCAATATAATCTCTTTCTAGAATCCAGATATTCTGCCATCTAGACTACTTTTCCTAGGAAACTCAACTACTCACTGAGCTTTTGGGGAGGAAGAAGATGTCAGATTATTTTTTTGTTTTTCCAGCAGGCCACATAGGAGATTGGCTCCATAAAAGTTTGTAAAATTTTTCTAGCAGTCATGACTTCTGGTTACCAAGCAAGGCCACAGTGTCAATACCACATAGCAGCCGTTAATAGGAATGTCATACATCCTGAAATGTTATGTCTTATTAGAACATGTCTATCCTGGAGGAAATGGACATCCTTATATGAATTCATGTTCTATTGTCACTCCACTGCCATACCTGTCCCCTACTGCCAACACAATTTCCTTCATGGTCTGGAAATTTAATACATGCTTAAAATTTAACTCAAAATTATATAAAGAAAAGTCAAGGTTTATATTCTTCCTCTTTCTTCTACTATTCTATTTCCTTCAAAAATATCTTCATGGGTAACTTACCTTAAGGGCTTGGGTCAAATGCAGCATTTGTAAAAACTCCATATGTTCCTAGGTGGCTAAAAAAAAGAAACACAAGAATGACCTGCCATACGATGCTTAGTCCTTGACTACAGTCCAGCACATAGTTTTCTCCAGAGACCATGGATTACCATCCCACCCCTGGAATTCTGCTTTGAAAGGGAGAGAAAAATAAATGCCAAAGAGATGAGATCCCACTTAACAGCTCTGGGTAATTTGCAGTGCATTTTACACCACGTCGTTATTGTTAATGCTTTAGGTACTGAATACCTGCTCTGCCCCCTAAGGGGCTGCAGCTTCTTCCCGGTGAGAGAAAATCCTTACAGAGTTCCCAGCCTTGATACTTGGTCATCTGGTGAGTTAGCAAAGAATGATAGTACTGCCCCCTACAGACTTTTTAAAATTTTCATAATGATCAAGAGTTCTACTGACATTGAGTGGGTAGAGGCCAGCAGTGCTGGACATCCTAACAGGCATGGATGCAAAAGAATTGTCCTATATCCCCCACAACTTTAGAATATCTACTCAATATCCATGCAGGTGAAAAATGTCTGAGCTTGGCACTTAACTCCTTAAATATAAATATTAAGTATTTGTTTGCATCTTTTAAAATGCAATTGCCGTGTGAATTGAGGGAAGATTAGAACAGATTTTACAACTCTTTACCAGAGTCGTTTACTGTAAGAAATCAGGTCTGAGGCCAGCCCGGCGGCATAGTGGTTAAGTTTGCACACTCCACTTCAGTGGCCCAGGGTTTGAAGGTTTGGATCCTGGACGTGGACCTATATACTGCTCATCAAGCCATGCTGTGGCGGCGTCCCACATACAAAATAGAGGAGTACTGGCACAGATGTTAGCTCAGGGCCAATCTTCCTCAGCAAAAAGAGGAAGATTGGCAATAGATGTTAGCTCAGGGCTAATCTTCCTCACCAAAAAAAAAAAAAAATCACGTTGGCGTCGGCACCACCTCTGATGCCATTTGAGTTGCTACTACCATATTCTTGCCTTTGGTCTTTATGGCTGTTGCCTTCAGTGATTCTACCCAAAGGTGAAGCTTCTGATGACCTCATAGTTCTGCTGATGTTGTGCCCCAGCCTTAGCGTGTCATTTCTGTTATAAATCATTTTCACTTTTATTTCTCCTTTCTATTATAATTAGGGCATTTATTGATTTTTAAAACATGTGCAGTTAGGATATACTATCTGTATATTTTACCTCACAATAGACAAGGTGGCATTGCAAAATGTTTGTTGCAAAAAGGGGGTGTTGTGTATAATAATTCTGACATATTGTGAATTAAAAAGTCAAACTAGAAAAGTGTACTCAATCATAAAACATTTCCATCTTACCTTTGAGGGTTCAAGGGACTTTTCCCATCATCTGAAATAAGCAAGAAGAGACAAATGATTAGTTTAAAAGAAAAAATGAGGTGAGGAGAAAAGTCATCCTTTCTGTGACAGGAATTATTGGGGAAAGTCGGTGACTGATTTCCAGATGAGCTCATTATAAAGGGCCCATTGGGAACAATCTCCCCCTGAG